CCAAAGGGATCGTGCACCCGAAGGACGCCGAAGACAAAATCCGTTTTCAGGCGGTGGTGGATGAGTACCGGCTGTACCAGGCCACCGAACACAAGGATGCGGGAAAGCGGAATAGGTCCCAAGATGAGGTCTAAATAGCCTCAAAAAAGGGTAGGTTTTCCGCTGACCAGGCAAGTGCGGCTGCTGCAGCAGGGCCACGGCGTGGCTTCAGCGAGGTGGTAAGAGATAGCCTGCAGGTGGCACTTGTAGATGCGATTTCCAACAAGGCGAAGCCGGTGCTTGACAAGTGGGGGGAGATTGAGGCGCGGCTGTCTCAAATGGTCATTGACCAGGTCATGGCACAGCCGTATGGCCATCTCCCCAGTTTCGACTCTGCGGAGGTAGTGCGCGGTTACAGGGTGGTCAAATGTGAGGACCAACTCTCAAAGGTTTTCCTGGAGAAGAGCTTGGCGAGCATCAGTGATGCTTGGGAGGGTTTGAAGCTCAAGCTCATCCCTGCCAGTGACATCCCCAGGAGGCCGAGAGCTCGCATTTGGCTCCCACGTGTAGAGATGGATAGCGCGGCGCTGCTAAAATATCTGCGTACACACGACCGTGAAATCCCGATGGACGACTGGGTGATCCTCAAGGCTGAGGAGTCACAAACAACCAGCATGTCCTTCTTACTCCTCATTGGTGAGGAAAGTATCGAGCCCTTGGAAAAGGCCGACTGTCTCCTTCGCTTTGGTATCCGGCGAGCCAAAGTAAAAATTCTCCGGGCGAACAATGCTGAAGAAGAAGAGCCTGACGTGGTCGACGACGCAAATAAGCTGCTGGAAGGCATGCTGCTTGCTGACCCCACTGCTGACCCAAATTGATAATGGGTCTAAAGGTTGTCCAGATTAACCTCCAGCACTCGAGGCTGGCCAGGGATAACCTTCCGTCTTCCTGGTGGAGGAAGATGTCGACATCGCGCTCATTCAAGAGCCCTAGGTATGGAACACCGAGGTGAAGGGGCTGCACCTGAATGGATACGAGGTATTCTACAAGAAATCGGACGGTAAGCCTAGATCTTGTTTTGTGGTTAAATCTCAATACCATACTTTTCTCATCCCTTCACAGCCACGAAGTTCGAAGCGGCTGGTGGTACCAGCATGGTCATCGCCTCGTGCTACATG